GCTGTATAAAATGAATGAAGCAATGGCTATATGTGAAATTGGCAAAATGGATGAAGTGCATGAAGAACAACTTGTTTATTTTTTTAAATGAATTTAGTACCCCGTCTCCAGGGTCTCACTGTGCAGACTGGACTTGGAGTGATCCTCCTGTGTTCAGCCTCCCAAGCGCTGGGATTACAGGCACGCGCCACCACGCCCAGCCTCCTTCGATGTCTCAGCACATCCCCGGAGGAGGAGCTGCCACTGCATGCCAGGGATCAAACCCCAGGTAGCTGTGCTTGCCTGTGCAGGTACTTTAGTTTGCTGAGCTATTTGGGTGGCCCAAGCAACTTCAAAACTGAAGGAGAAAACAAGAAAATAAATAGTGATACAACATAGTGGCTTAGTAATTTCAACCTGATTCCCCAATAAAGCCAGTCCAGGTTTCTACAATTGCAACAGTACATGTGGTGGTTCTATTGGCTTTGTATAATGCTTAAGGCATTTAGAAAATTGGGTGTATTAAACTGTGAGTTTAATGAAATGATTAGAAGAATTTGATTAGTTGTGTAATCAATGTTTAAATGTCTATGGAAATCTAATTTGTTAAATTAATAAGCTTTTGCTTTATTTGTTACATAAATAAAAATGGATATTTAGAAGAATGCTCTGTAAATATAAATTAATTGGATAACAGAGTAAAAATAATGGTGTTCATGACCATAAATACCACGTTAGGGATATTAAAGAATATATGAACGTGAAAAAGAAGATGTAAAATATGCCTGCCATTGTTGATAGCTAGCAGAAAGTGAACTCTAGGAATGCCTGTTGGTTAAAGGGAAATGAAACTCAAGCTAGGAGACTGAGGAAACGTGGGAGGATCCCATTAAAAAGAAAACATAGGAGTTTGATCACCAGAACCGCATGCCATGCCAGCCCTACCCCTGGGTGCGCTGAGCCGGAGACTGAGTCTGGCCATGGTGGCGCACGCCTGCAATCCCAGCGCTGGGGAGGCTGAGACAGGAGGATCAGTGTGAGTCCAAGCTGCATGGTGAGACCCTGTACCAAATACATAAATTAAAAAAAAAAAAGAACATAATCCCTTAAAGCAAGTGCTGCAGTAGGAAATGAAGCAGTTCATTTTATGAAAGTGTTTATTGTCTACTGGCAGAATTAATTCTTAATAGAGACTTGGCTTGCAAGGAAACGATACAATATTATTCAACAGGTAAAAGAATAAGATAACACAGGATGCAGTGGTGCCTGAAATCCCAGCACTCTCTGTGGCTGACGTAGCAGGAGGGTGTCAGGCTTGAGCCCAGCCAGGGTGGTGCACGGTCTCGAAATGAAAAAAAAAAAAAAAAAAAAAAAA